TATTAAGTACTTCAGATTCAGTTTGTTTTAAGATTTGGGAAGTTGCACTAAAAAGAAGGAAAAAGTGTGTTAATGTTATTCGAAAAAGCAGGCAAAATATGGCAAAAATTGTGTTGTAGGGCTCTAAGATCAACTTGATAGAAGTCAATTTTTTAAATCATTGTACCCCATGCTAACCAATAAAGTCACAAAGACGTAAGGATTTAATGAGTGTGAAATAATATGAGAAACAAGAAAAACATTATTAAAGAGATAGAACAATAAAAACACAGAAGTTAAGACAGAAGATAACGATTGACTTTGCATTAAAATTTTTGAAGATCAAAGTCGACTAGAATATGCCGTCGGGAATCTTACGAAAGTTTGATAGTTCATTCCATAGGCATCAACAGTGTACGCTAATCGTATAAAGACAACCGTGATCATCTTTAGCGGGTGAAACAAGGATTTGTGTACTGATAACAGGAGTTCGTTCTTCAGAAAAAATATGTGACAACAACGTGATAAAGCCTTCGGTTAACTGCTGAATCCTTTGCTCGCCTACGCAGCAATATTTTTCTTCTGTGATACTGAAAGTTTGTTATCGGCATTTGAAAAGAAAACAGTCCTCACAGCCCCCGAAGTAACACGCTAATGAGATTTAGATAGAGACGGTGAAAAATTGTGATTCAAACATTTTGTACTTTTAACTTCAAATGAAACTATTGCAAAAATAATCAGTCTTAAAAAATAACAATATTTCAGCGTTTTGTGAGATTGAGCAGATGGATGGCGGGACAAGGTTTAATGGAAATGACAAAAAGACAAAATTTATTAAGAGCTACGAAGGAGAAGAAATTGCAGAGAGCCAGGATCGTCTACGTCATGAAGGGACACGGCACATAGAAGTTATTCGTTTCTTGAACACCATCTACACGGTGTTTTTAGTTTAAATGAATTGAGCCAATGTTGGTATTATGTATCAAGACTGTAAGTACACAGCGGCCATTTTTCTTTTAAGCAGACAAGTGCAACAAGAAGCTCGACTCATAACCTTGATGAACCGTCGACTGGGTGACCAGATTCTGTTCGTGAAAGAATCTTTTAAGAAAAATGCGCTTAAAGACAAGCAAATCATGATTTTTATTAATGTTCCCATTACCTGACATCATTTATTGAAAAAGCACAAAAACATTTCAGAGAAAAAATATTTTTTGTGTTTCATCCCCAGCAAATATCGTACTTGCTAGTTTGGTTCTGCGGTTATAGTAACAGACTGAGGGTTGCAAGCTCCAATCAAAGTGATGGTTAATTCTGGGAAAAAAATATGAATTCGAATCGGTACTTCTGGTTTTCTCTCTACAGATCAACATAAATGGATATGGCAAGTGCATTGCAAAATTAACAATCGCAACAGAATTACAGTCCTCTATTATCCTATTTGCCATTGTCATACTTTTATTATATATGATGGCTATTATTTAATTTTTAGTACGACTACTTCCTTACATTAACCGTTGCTGGGTTCTTTCATGTATGAAAAAAGGTCCTGTAATTTAGAGAGATTATAGTGACAAACACTTGTACAACATGAATACCACACTTTGAACGTCAACTACCATAATCCAGTGACAAGAACACTCAAGATTATTGGTGATGGCTTCAGTTGAAAGTTTTTAATTCAGACTTATCCTTCTCTCGGACTGGTTGCCGCTTATGGTGGAGGAGGGGAAAAAGAGAT